GATGGCAGGGCTCCTTTCTTTAGAAGAATGTTAGAGTCACAAATCACAGTTTCAACAACACAAAGGTCCTGTAGAAATCCAAGAGTCCCAGAATGTTCACATTAGTCCACTGTAAGAGGAATTCTAAAGGATTCGAACCGGATTCTCGACCACTCTGTGACCGCGCTCTCAGATGTCTGGGACATAATTCGGCGGTGCACGTTCATTGGGGAATTTAGCTCAAGGGTTTGGGGAATGTTAGGAAGCACATAAGTCCAAATTTGTAGGGTAACAATGACAGTTTATTAAAGTAACAGTGAATTCCAAACAACATAAAAACATAAAGATGCAAGTCCAAGTCCTAACTAAAATTTAGATAAAGCTGGCCTAAATAGAAATAGAATCTTAAAAGTTTCTTAGTCTAATTCCTACATGGTTCTTAATTAACACATCAACTCACTAGCTCTGTCACTCTAGATCTCTCTTAACTCTCTGTATTCTCAAATATATATTATTAACTAATTGTAAGAAATTACTCAATGTAAATATAGCCAAAGGGCAAAACTTGTCAACTAAGTAATCTGAACAATGGAATACTCAAGTGTCATCCTTTGATGTCAGGAAGTCAAAGAAGATTTATTTAATTAATCTAACACCTAATCAGTGACCATTGCCATCAGGCAGTATGAGTGTAAATGATTTACAATTGCTAAGAAAGCACTAAATATTTCTGGGGATTAAGAATTAGCCAGATGTAAAATGTGTTGGTTTAATTTCATTACTTGTGAACAAATAACTTAGGATATCAAGAATTTATCAAAGTAAATGAATTTTATGAATGATATTAAAATTATAAGTAAAATTATTATCTATATTAAAATAAGTATCAAAAGTGAAATGGGAGCCATTTCACTGGTGATAGGCCTAGTACTAAATCTCAGACTAACTTAACTGTTTGTTACTATATGTAATACAATAAACCAGTAAATGAATTCAATTCTTAAAACAGGTGGCCCTAACTTCTATGAAAGCAAAATTAAGTGGCCACACCTACTCATAAAGCAAAGGACGTCATATAGCATAGGAGTATGCAGTAACCTTTTGATTCAAGATTAACCAGGAATTTTAAATCTCTGGCAAGTGTTCATGTCAATACAATTTGTACGCTGCACCCAAACTGCCAATAAACATTTGGACAAGTCCCAAATAAGGGTACTAAACCTTTTAGAAAACAGAAAGTTGAAGGTTCAGAAAAATGAATTTTAAGTCATAAATCTCTGACTCCAATAAAAGCTGTCACAATAAAATGGATAAGACAGGGATTTTTAGAAAAAAGAAAAGAGAAATTGAAAATGAAATCCTGAATATTGAATCCATTATTATTCCAGCTTATAGGAAGAAAATTAAAGAAACTAAAAGAAAATTATCAGAATCAAACACAAAATTTGATGATCTGGAAATAGATACAGAAAAACAGAGAAAATTCTGGCATCAAGAAGTAGATGTTATCTTCAACAAACTTAATTTTCTGGTCAAATACCAGAGAGAAAATCACCTGGATGCACTAAATTCTTTCAAGTTCAAACTGACAAACCTTATTCAAGAAATGGAAAAAACAATAGAAGAAATTAAAGAAATCTTGAAAACAAACACATTGTCTGAAGTCACTGACCATGTATCTAAACTGCAGGAATACAGAGACATGCCAACGGATATAACAGGTACTTACGAATTTCCTTCACTCAAAATAAACAAAATAGTGGAAAGAGAGCTCAGAATAGAATTATTAGAGTATAAGGCAACTCTGACACAAACATCAGTACATGCTCTGATAAATGAGACATCCTACACATATACAGAGGACTTACTGAAGGAGGCCCGAGTGATTGCTACCATTCCTTCTGGACTTAAATCTCTATGGCAAGTAGCATGTGTCGGAACAGATGAAGCATGGGTTTCTGGTATGGATATATTCATCAACCGTGTAAGCAAAATACACCCAAATACTCAAGATGGTGTCATTGCAGTGTGTCGTCTTTTTCCTGCTAGCATCTCAACGACTAAAGAGGGTGAACTGATATATAGTGATTGGCTAAGCAGAACTATTTATGTAGTCCGAAACGAGAGAACAGAGGAACTGATTACTGCACCAAAAGGATGGCTTCCAGATCGACTGTGCTGTACAAGATCAGGGGACATCCTAGTCTCACTATGCAGAGATGACTATACAAGACAAAAAGTTATATGTTACCAAGGGCAGAAAGTAAAACTGGAAATAGAAAAGGATGAACATGGAGACCCAATCTTTGAAGAAGGATCTAATTCACTCTATGTGGCAGGGAACAATAATGGAGACATTTGTGTTTCTGACGGCAATGCTAAAATAGTCATTGTGTTGGACAAAACCGGTAGTAGAGTTCAATTTATATATGATGGCTGTCCAGTCACATCATTCACATCATCATTTAATCCTGGACAAATAGTCACAGATTCCTTGAGTCATATCATCGTGGCAGAAACAGCTCCAGGCTGTTTGCACATCATTGACCAGAATGGATATTTTCAGAGATTTTTCTACAAATCTTTCTTATCAATCATTTCAGGATTAAGTATAGACAGTAAGGAGAGGTTATGGGTAGGAATGAGTGACACAAAAGAAGTAAAAGTCATCCAGTATATAAAATAATCAATAGTGTCCGTAGAAAGCTAGTGCTTCTACCACATACAAAATCAAATGTGAATAATCTGAGACACAGTCCAAGATGAAATTTGATCCTGTGTCAAATTTTCCTATAAAGAACAATTCAATAACCATTGTTGACATGAAAGATCTAATAACATTGCTGAACAATGTGAAAAAAAAATCAACAACAAAAAAATCGATCAATGGATATACATATTAAATATGGTACATGCAGATCATTTGAGATACTAAGCAGTTTTTTTTTAGTCAAAATTTTCAAGGGAAATTATATACAATTGAAAATCATTTCTTTAACAGATATGAAAATATAAAATTAATTTCATTGATTTAAATACTATATTCAGCAGAATCACTAGTTAATATTTATTTAATGATGCCACATTAAAGTTTCTATTTATTTACCTTTATGTATATCACTACAGTGAAGCCGATCTAATCCAGACATTGTTTTTCCTGAAATATTGCCTTCAATGATGCAAACTTAAGGTCCCTTTCAGTAATCTCAATTGTTTAAAATGTTGTCATATCCAGAATATTTTCTAATTCGGACAATTTGGTGTCCAGATTACACAAGATTTATTGTTTATTATTATTTATTCAGCAGCAAAGTGGTTTATCCCAGGTTGTTTTCCATACACCAGGAGGCAGAAAGATAACAAAATTTCCAATGTAACCAAATGAAATTGTTATTTATGTCCAATCTAACTGCCATTATCCCTACTTTCACAGATTATGTCTATAAGAGTTGTTCTGCTTTGTGTGAATGTTCAAAGGAAAAAAAGCTTGATTGAAATTTGTATTAACTTCAGTGCATAAAAGTTATTTTCTAATTACTATTGCATCATTTGTCAGTGTGCAGTGAGACAACACAGTGTGATGTCACACTGTTTGCCCAAGACTTCAGTCCTTTGTACAATATTTATACACCCAGCTTCTTTATCAATCAAAACTAATTATACAAGTTACATGGGAAATAATCATTTATATATGTACATGTATATGTCCTATGAATATGTGTGCTTTTAAAATATTTCATTAATAAAACAAAGAAGAGGTTCTTTTAAGCTCTTTACCAGTTGTAACAATCAGGTAAATTGATGCTAGTGTCTGATTAACAAGACTACTGTCATTATTATTGTAAGCAGGTGAATTTAAAAATAATGACCACCGAATTGAAATAACCCATAACATATTTTTCACTTATATCATCATATTGTACATGCATTCTAGTTAAAATTCCTGAAGTGGCAAAAGAATAGACTAGTGTAGATTCCTAAATATCCCCTAGGAATTACTTACCATGTAATTTTGCAAGAAACACCACTCACAAAATAAAATTACTCACTTTTATTTTTGTGGTGCTGAAATCAGTATAAAATCTCTTGATCAACCAATGCGAAATTATTTTTCTCACGATTTGAAGCTTTTTCTTCTGTCATTGCTTGTTTCTTTTTGGTATTCGTTTTAAATATATAAAATAGCTACATCATTTACATCACTCATGACATCACTGTTTATTATGTACGAGATTTTTACAGATGTTTGGGAATTATTAATGACATCATTTTTCTTAATTTAAATGTATTTAAGAAATGATGGTATTGTAAAAGATTCTTTGTAAACAATGTCAGATATACAGTTTGTGAAATAATTATAGCTACAATTATTGAACCCTGCACATATTTGAATGTATTGTATAATATTTATATAAATAAATGAATTAAAAAAAAATTGGACAGCTCGTTTAAAAATTTTAATACATTGTTGATGTTTATTTGGTAATCCTAATTTCTGCCACTTGGAAATTAAAGCAACGATTTATTCCTAGAAACTTCAAATGCATATTATTTAACTGGCTCCATCCGGGCAAGAACTTTGAACTCAATTTTTAAAAAATTCTTTTCATATTTTTTCTGTGTCATGATGACCCTTTGGGTGATATTTTAGGGGGTAATAAATATTTTTTATACATAAAAATGCATATATTTGCATTAAAAGAAACACTGATACCCTCTTTAAGATTAGAAACAAGGTAAAATAAGAAAAGAATATTATACAGTCAAACTTGACAAAATGGTCTCATTTTCCAGGGTTCATCTCTCCTATGAAATTTTGTTTCCTCCCAATGAAATATTCCATATAAATCAATGTAACTCTATTAAATGGTCACCTACCTAATGCACTCAGCACTCATCAAAGTTAATGTGAAATCACCGTTTTTCCTCATCAATACAGCGACTGTTTTGTCCAATCACATGATTCAGTACTGCTTTACAATCTAACCAGAAAAGACAAAAAAAAAAGATTTAAAGCTTACCAGTTGTTTGATGGCTGAATACAGCAGTTCTCTACCTTCAGGAGTTTCAACATCACATACCACCCATATTGTGACAGGAAATAAACTTTCCTCATCTGTAAGAGTCAAATAAAAATGTAAACATTGACATATTCCATTTCAGGGGGAGGGCATATTTGAACTGAGCACTTCATAAGCTGTAGAAGAGAATCTTGTTTTTTGTTGTTGTTTTTTTTTAGTTTATAAGATTTACAGATAAAATGCATTCCATAGCCTCATATACAATCATGTACAAGTATTTTTAATTTAAGACACTTCACCTTTTCTAGTGAGATATTTCATATCTCGAGCCATGATTGCTGTGATCTCTCCTGAGCTCTTCTGATAGAAACTGTCCAGACTCAGACTATCATCTAAAAATATAAAATACTTACTAAGTACATTATGCTGTCAATAGGTAGACAGGTATAGAATCATTATCATTTATAAATACACTAAGTAACTTAATAATCAAAATATTTTACACTTTGTCAAAATCAATTTATTCTTACTGTACATGTGTATATAACTGTCTTTCAGGTAATTTGCAATGATTAAAGTAAAGATTTAACTACATTTATTATTTATTTTGAACAACATCATGACAAGAAGAGGTCCAAGGACCACATCACACACATGAGCACTTTGGCTAGAGAAAAGCAGAAAACAGCTCACTATTGAAATGTCATGATTTGAATAAACTGAAATCAACAGCACCATAGAATGCTTCCATACAATTATGACTAATCATGGCTTTGCTGTTCTTAAGGAGAAGATTTTTTCCCTATAATTTCCTATGTAAAACTTTGATTCCCTATTGTGGTCCTGCCCTCCTAGCTCTAGGGGTCTTGATTTGAATAAACTTATATCAACAGTACCTGAGGATACTTCCATACAAATATAACTAGTCATTGCTTCGCTGTTCTTAAGAAAATTTTTTTAAAGATTTTCCCTATATATTCCTATGCAAACTTTGATTGCCCATTGTGGCCCCACTCTAGCCCTAGATGTCATGATTTAAACAAATTTAAATCACACTAAGTAATGAAGCTTTCACATAACTTTCATCTTTTCTAGCACAGTGTTTCTTGAAAAAAAAAGATGCCATTAAATTTTCACTAATTCTGTATTATCTCCCCTTGAAGCGAGCATGGCCCTCATTTGATCAAAATTGACCTCCTTTCACCCTAGGATGCTTTGTGGCAAGTTTGGTTGAAATTGGTCCTGTGGTTCTTAAGAAAAAGTTGAAAATGTGAAAAGTTTACAAATGATGACAACAGACATATGCCGGACACCCTTCGATCAGAAAAGCCCACTTGAGCCTTCAGCTCAGGTGAGCTAAAAATCTTACAAACATTTTTGGCCAAATTATGAAGCCATGATTGTTTTAATCAGTTTCACTCTCTTGGAATTTATTAGTTTTAGAAAGAATTTACTTCATACAAGTGTTTGAATATTACCACTGACCTACAGTTGTAGTGAAATCCAGGGTTTGTTTGGGAGGGGAGAGAACTCTCGAGTTCAACCTTGGCAGAACATGTTCCTTTTCCATAAGGTATTCTAGTACATTCATATAGTCATGTAGATTTCCCTAATTTTTTAAACATAATAATATTTGCTTTATTTCAGTTATGTTTACAATTCAAAGTATATTTCAGAGTTTCAAAATACAGAAAGAAATTAGATACAAAAGGTCCAAAGGTCTTAACGGTCACCTGGGTATAATACAACCATGTAAAGGATCCATGTGACAGTAAATAATTACATGTATATAATAACACAAAATATACCAAAACTCAAAAACAAAAGAAAAAGAATGATCATGGATCAACAAAATATTTGGTCTGGTAATCAGCATCAACTCAGAAACTTGCCCAGATATACCATAGCTATCTACCACAGCCACTTGTTTCATGTACAGGACACTCCCTACTCTTTCTTTCCGCAAGGTACCTAAATCAATTTCAGATACCTCACTTCAAATTCATATCTTATTAATTCATCAAGCATTAACATACTTTAATATATAAATATTGCGTGTAGTTGAGTGTAACATTGAAAATTTTCACCCCAAGAAAACCATTGTCAACCGAGGCGCATGCACTCAACTACATGTAATATTTATTATATTATACTGAATGTTTTATACAAATACATATAACAGTGAACCTTGGGCACATTAATTCTGCGCAGTCACTATTTTTTGGAATATCACCCGTCGTCAAGCAATGTTGACTGTTGCTGTGCTGGAGGGCGTGGCTTCATTATTCAGCGGGTAATAGTGTTTTTTAACAAAAGTTTCTCGACAAATCAGATTCAACTAATTTACATGAGAGTATAATATCAAGACATAGTTCACTTCAGGATACTTTTTTTTCTTTTCATTCCAGCAATTTCAAAATGAAAAGCTAAGAAGTCTTTGGTTTTATCCTACACAATAAGCCTCACCTGAAGCTGATGAATCCTCTGTGAAGTGTGTAAAATGTGTTTAGAAAATTTTCAAGGAATAAATGAGTGGTTTACAATAAAGGGGAATGACAAAGAATGTCTGGAATGACTCATTAGAGAAGAAAATTGAAGCAAACTATGTCTTGTTAAAGTAGGGGATGCTCTGTAGACAAACAAGTGCCTGTGTCTGTGCTATCTACACTATATCAGTATCACCAGACTAGGCAGACTTAACAAGACATTAGTGCTTTAGCACAAAATACAATATTCAAGTGCACCCAGCACAATCCCACACCATAATGGCCTCTTTTAGACTCTGAATAATATTTAATGTACACATACAATGTATGTGTATTTTTGTCTCATTTTTAGTCATCTGTTATAACAAGTCTACCTGACTATTAAAAACTATGAAAGTATTTTTTGTATTACATATTAAGAATTTATTTGTTTTTACCCAATTAACCTAACAACTGCTTTACTTAGATTGATTAGTCATCTTAAGTGAATAACAAAGGGGAATAACTTCTCTTATAGCAGGGTAAATATAACTGCAGAACTCCTGGCCCAGAGCCCATGTATTTCACAATTAGAGATAAAAGCACGCTTCCTCTGTATAACCATGCACTTAGTTTGTCTGCTCAACACCCAGGAGCAGAGAAAAAAGATTTTACAAGAATCAATGTGTTTTTGCTGCATGATCAATAGTGCCCCCTCATATCACTAGAACCCCTGACTCGGGGGCAATGAATTTCACATTTTGGAAGAGGCAGTCTTACTCATCATAATCATGCACATAGTCTGTATTCTAAATAACCAGGAGCAGAGAGGAAGATTTTCAAAGAATTAATGCATTTTACCTATACAATCTATAGAATTTCCCTAACTCCAAAACTCCTCACCCAAAGGCCATGAATTTCACAATTCTGGAACATGCAATCTTCTCACTCTTGCTCATTATAACCATGCAGTTTGTATTCTAAATACCCAGAAAAAGATTTTTGAATAATTAATGCATTTTCACTATATCATCTACATGTATAGAGCCGAGCCCTTACACTAGAAGGCCTGACCCAGAGGCCAAGAAATTCACAATTTTGGAAGAGGTCTCAATGCTTATTACAATCATGCCAACAGTTCGATTCCTTGATGGTTTTTGTCCCACCCCTCAGGTCTCAGGATAGCAGGGACCATAAAATTCAAAATTTTTGTTCCCTTTCATCCATAGATGCTACTCTCCAAAATTGGTTGAAATTGGTTCAGCAGTTTCAGAGAAAAAGTTGAAAATGTTGAAATGTTAACATACAATGTACGCCACATGACAATGGATGAAAACAGATAGCAATAGGCAACCTAAGGGACTCTAAATTCACACGTACATGTAAATACATATTAAATAAATTCTAATTCTCTTTTAATTTAACTTTTTTGTTTGTTAGCAAAATCCCTAAAAAATAATCTATATACATGTAATCCATGTGGATAGGTTTCGATATAAAATTAATTATCTGTTAAGGTCCATTGACCCTCGGATAAGAGAGATAACTCTCACTGAGATACATTACCATAATTCCTATTATTCCTTTCTAAAATTGTCAAGTTAAAGGGACATTTCTATCAAATCGTGCCCCTAAAGAAATGCTAAAATTAAGTGCATTTAAATTATAAATTAAATTTATTATGGCAAATCATAAAATTAAATCAAAATTCTATATGAGTAAATAGAGGGATGAACCTTAAATTTAATATTACCGGACAGCCTTGTATCTAAATTACATGTTTATTTACCTGGTAAATGTTGTCTTACCTGGTAGACTGCTTTTTGGATGTCAGGGGTCTGTGCCATTATCTGAGAGACTACACCTTCCTCAAAAGTATCCTCTGTGAGGAAGGATTTCTTTAATGGATTCCCATTTAGCAGAACCTGGGGAAAATTCCCCAGTCCAGATTTCTCTACATAATCTTTAGCTGCCTGAAATAAAAAAAAAAATTAAGTTTGACAAACAACTTGCATTCTATTCATAAAATAAATCATTCACCTCATTTTCGATAAACATGCACACTGCTACTTTGTTTATAATTGAAATTCTAAATTTTAGTCTCAAGAAACCAAAGGACAAAAATTTATTATCTTAATCTTAGAGATCAAACTCAAATTTGGGATACAGGTCTTTATATGCACATATCACTCATATCAACAAGACAATTTCTTCATTTCAACTGAATTCAAGCAATATTCCAAATTGCAAGCAAAAGCAGAAATACACAAGAACAATTTCACCTTTTCTCTAAAAATGATGTCTATTCCTTGAAATTCTATAAGTAAATTAATTTCAATCTTACCCTTCTAAGAATGTCGTATTCATCGTAGTCTTTGCCAAACACTTCCTTCATATCTGCATCAGCATACTTCTTTTTGAATTCTTTTAAAACCAGCTTGGCTGTTATTTCTTCTCCCTTGGCCTTTTCATAAATCTGTCAGTGAATACCAAAAACTTTAACCTAGGACACCGACGCCAAGGGTATCACATAAGCTCCCCCCAACTTTGTTGAGGTGAACTATACAAGTAAATATAAATATACTACAGAATTATATTACTCTGCTCCTATAAAATGTCATACCTTTCAAATTCTTAGTTCTATTCCTACAGTCTTGATGTCCAATTACTTATTATCTTAGAATAAAATTAACTTTTTCAGAACTTCAAAAACTTTCACTGTATTTTAAAAAGAGTGAACATAATAATAACATCTGTGACAAATGAAAGAGCTTTGGGGAAATCATGTTCCTGTCTAATGTAGTCAAATGCTCTGGAGATTGCAATGCTAGCATCTTCATGAGGATCTGCTTCCAGGTCAAAGTTCACAACAAACACAACACTCAGCCTGATTGGAGCACTGTGAACAAGGAAGGCTTCAGCCATTTTGATGAGTTCTATGTCTGTTTGTCTTGTAGGGTCCACAAAAAATACCTAAAAAATCAATTTGGGGGTAAATTATTTCAACATCTGGGCTGCATTTAAGACCATAGGAGCTAGCCTTGCTGCTACATAAGATATCTTGTTGGTATTGAACACTCTGTATGAATTTAAGCTTGTCATGGTTATGCTAGCATATTGCTCAAGATCATAATGGCTACATAGAGCTACGTAGCCACTATGATCTTGAACATAGCCGTGGTATACTTATCTTCTACCATTAATATGTAGAAAATTTTTACATGATTTACAAAAGACATTACAAGTGCTAACTTCCTAAGCCACAACTACAGAGTTTTGATATCAAAGAATAAAATTAATATCTATACATGTTATGGTCCCTTACAAAACCTTTTATCTTAAATTCCTATGAGTATTTCCTGACTTACAAGCTTATCGGTACTTTGTCAAGAAGAGACCAGTTATGCATCTGAATGAGGTTTGAAATCATAAATTCAATATATTATCATCAGGAAACAATATTTTGATAATTTACCAGGTGGAAGAAGTTTTTGGCAACATGTCGCAGCATTCCCGGGAAGGTTGGCCTCAGAATATCCTGGACACTGCTTGGCCAGTTTTTGTACTTCTTGTCATTTTCAAGGTCATTCAAAAACTGTCAAGGTCAAAAATTGTCATTAACATTTTACCACTGCATTACATATTGTAGATTCCTTACTTTACAGTTCCTAATAATGTGAAATGACTTATCAAACTGTAAGAAAATGAATTTGAGAGTGGAATGTTGATCAAAATTTTTACAGCAATGTAAAACTAATTCAAGTAATCTTATTTCACAAGTGGCACTTCTCATGAAATTTGAAATAATATTAATATTCCTGATGTATACACATGTGAGTTAAGGCTAGGTATAGGCGTTTCTATGCAGATGTGCTAATAAAAACGCATAAGAGGTATATTTATTATTCAGAGAAAGTTTTGATTTATTTTCTTATGCATACTTAGTACCCACGATATGTTACAGCTAGTAGACATTATGACGTCATATTATGACGTCATTGATCTTGCTTACTGGAGGTAATAAATCACATCAACAAAACAGCTTCGGCGCAAGGGATTACCCTATTCATTTTTACATAAAAATTGTATAATGCTAAGAAGAATATTCTATAGATTAATAAAACTGCTGCACAAATCCCAGGCATTTTCTTATTTGATCGGAATTTGAGGAAACTTATACCGGACTGTACATTTTTACCCTTATTCAACTTAAAACTTTACTAATAGAAATTATACGACTGAGCTGTTGATATTTGTGCAGCAATACCAGCAAAATTTAGAATATTTTGCTTCTAAATATACCATGTTTCAGTTAAATAAAATAAAGCATGCCCTTGCGCCGAAGCATTTTTGTTGATCTCCTTTATAATCTTGTGTAGTAAAGGACAGTGACGTCATAATATGACGTCACAATGTGTACTGGCTATCTCATGTCGTGGGTATCAAGTATGTATTAGACAATAAGTTTTAACTTTCTCTGTATAATAGATATAGTCCTTAGGCATTTTAATTAGATTATTTGCATAGAAATGCCTATATTTAGCCTTAACTCACCTGCGTAATTAAGAGTCTACAGTGTAACACCTCATATCAACTGGTAATTTCAAATTAATAAAAATATAATCAATTTTGCAATATTTTTAAAATTGCTATCTTTATTTGGCAACAACAGGCAATATCTAAAGAGAAAACAAAATTTTTGCATGAACATTCGAGACAAAAGATACATGTAAATCTTTACTTTACCTGTATAGCTGTGTGTCTAATATCCAAAGCAAACTCCTTTGAATCTCCTCCAAAGTCCAATCGCATAAACTTTTCCAAGTCAGCACCCTATAATTGTGATATAATCACAATTCTGCTATTCTAAATATAGTCTTATTTATACATGTATATGTACAGTTCTGAATTTAAACACAAACACACACACAAACAGATAAATTCACGTATTTTGAATCCCAAATTATATATGTATAGGAGGATAAAACTGAAATTACATTGTCAGTCCTTCAGATGATAATAATGCATTCTGGAAATTTTTTTCCCCCATTTTATTTTCACTCTTGGCCAAACTCATCGCAAGTGGGCAAATTTAAATTGGGGCGAATTCAAAGAAGACAGCATGATCTCTTTGACACAGCTGTAATGTCTAGGCTAATTTAAAACCGGGCAAAATTGTTGATAAGTGTGAAAGTGCTAAAATCAAACAGAGCAAAAATAACCCCATATACAGTATTGCTAACAACTTGCCTTAAATCCCATTGAGAACAGTCCCTCCATAATTCTGGCCTCTGACTTCATCAGATCCAGGAGTGTGTATATGTCATAGATTTCCATCTCTACAGGAATACCATTCAAAAACATGGCCGACTCTCCGGTCCCAATATTCAGCTCTTCAAAATTCTAAAATATCACTCAAAAATTTAGCAAATTCATGTACACATATTCAGAAATGAAAATTAGATTCAGGAACATATATGTACCTGCATAAATTCATTTAATTATACTTTCTTTTTAGGGCAATTTTAAATCTACAACATTCAATAAATACTTTTCTGGCCTCAAGAGACTAAATAAATTGACTATTATTAAATTGACAAAGGTTCCAAGTTATGTTGCTACTTGGATGAAAATCTAAGACATTGATTAGTACTCTACCTTTCTGTTCTGATTAATTTCATTTCTGACTTCACTCTTCACACCAACTTTTGACAAAGATCTACAATATTGATACAAATGGAGGTAGGATCAACACATGCATTTGTGCAGAAGTCTTTCTATTCATAACATATATTAATAACTTGTACAGTAAAACTTGGATATAAATAATTCACTTTTAAGGAAATTTTGGTCACAAGGAATCATTTTTTAAAATCCCATAGACTACTTTTCACTATGTTCCTTTAAGTTTTATATATAATGAATCTTGGTTATAAAGAGGCAAAATTCAAGTTCTTAGGGACTTCCTTAAAAAATGAGTTTTACTGTACAATATAGCAAACATAGTCATATTGACAGTTTGAAATGTGGGCAAATGTGGGTATTTCATATTTCTCTTTAAATTAATGATGATGAAAAACCTGACAAGTGACAATTTTAAGTCATACATCAATTTTGTTGTCAGCTGTTCCATGTTTACAGTGTATGTACATAAGCAATAATAGATTGTGCTTTTCAACCTTTTCAACTTATCAAGGATCAACAGCTACAACAGTGTTTGAAATAACCGTGTGCTCGACCGCCCGAGACGCACAAATTTTGCAGCGGGCGAACAAATTTGCACGTACTGACGCCTGGATGGACATGTTAAAATTTTCGATAATTAAAATTCATATATTTGATAAATCTTTTTCATATCAAGTACAGCTTAACTTTGAAATCTCGAACACGGATATCTCAAATACCCCGGATATGTCAAAGTAAGGCCCTGGTCTCAACGAAATTTGCTTTATAAATGATTAAAATAAACCCCTCTAAGTCGAACACGGTAATGTCGAATACCCCGGTTATCTCGAAGTTAAATTGTGTACCCATTTATTAAAATCACATGCGTTATCTCGAAGTCAGGATAATTTTCCGCTCTGACGATCAAGTCCGTTAGGTAAACTGACCGCTCTATTGATAACAGCCACCTGTCTGTCACGCACGGGTTACCTGTGTTCCTTTGATCAACAAATAATAGCGCAATAATTATACGAGGTGTATGTATGGCTTACCTTGATTTTAATTATGCAAGCCAAAGGTTGTGTGTATTAGTCTTATGCATATGCGTGGATGACACATTAATTGTTTCGTGGCTGGGGTACATTTATCTTGATAATCGCTATTTAATGCTATGTGTAATATGCGCGCTTGCATAGTTTATGCATATGAAAGTGAAAGCGAAAATTATAAACATCAAAGTGAAACAAAATTCTGTAATTTAATGCAATTAGAATTTATTTTTCCTACATGTGTATTTGAGCGCGCAGAATTTACAACCGTCAGTACACACCATCATGTGAGCGCGTATCGCAGCGAAAACTTCTGCTATAATACCCTGTGATTCGGTGTTCTTCTGTAGTTAAACAAAAGTGCGTGTTTCTTCTTTTGCATTTGATTTTATTATGGTAAAATATTTTATTTCAATGATTATATATATATGAACATGTTTTTCCAATAAAAAAAATTTGTATATTTCGTTTGCATTATTCTGACAGCTACCGATTTTAAATTTACAATGCATAGACGATATCCGGTTCTGGAAAACGATGCTAGAGGTTGACTTGCCGGGTTGGTAGAAGGATTATACGTCTGTGCATATTATACAAAGTTTTTATTTTGTGAATAATAAAGAGGATGTAAAAATCTTTTTAATGCTAATTACATGTATATTAAAGGAAACGTATACAGAATTTAAAACAAGAAGGAATTTGACATGTTTCTACTATTAAGTGTATGTTCACTGCACTAAGTTTATTTGAAGTTCATTAGAATTATAACCCTCGATATGTCGAACCCCCGGATATCTCGAAGTTCTTCAACGGTCCCGTCAACTTCGAGATAACGAAGTTTAACTGTAATAGTATCGGTAGCAAAGTGTAACAAGCCAATAGGAAGAATTCATCAGTCTATAGATTCTGGTTTGAAGTTATGGTGACCTGGTTTCTGTCATATTATCGTTAAAAAACAAATTTATAAAAGACAATTTTTTTCTCGGGCAAGTAGATCTTTGGCAGGGCTGACAACTTTTACTAGCAGTCAGCCCTGCATGTCTGACTAATTTTACAGTGAGTTTCAAACACTGAGCTACAAACATCAATGTCTGTTTCCTTAAGTTTTTATGGATAACAAGCAAATTCAGAGAATTGTGGTACCCCACTTTCTAGGTCTTACTGGTTGAGGTGCAATGTTTTATGACATATTGTAGCTGTATTTTCTGTGCTTCATGCAAAAAAGGTCTTATATTTTGGAAGCAATAAGTTCTGGTTCAAAGTTATGGCCAAGATTAAAGTTTTTGAAAGTCAAACTTTGAAGTCTAAGTCATGAGGTAAGGAATCATAGTGCATTGCAAAATGTTATGTCACAAGTAATGCATATGAGTGAAAATACATGTATAAAAGCACTGTCTCTTCAATTGCATGAGCTACAGTTATCTTCTCTAATTAAAAAAAGTTATTTAAAAGTTATTACTAATGTTAACATTTTAGAAAATTAGGTCAAAATTCAAGATCAAGGATCAAGGTCATGGGGTCAAAAATTATAATGCATTTCGAAAGGTCTTGTCATAGGTAAATAAGGTAATGCACATGTGAAATATGAAGCCCTATCTTTTTTTCTCATTCAAAAGCTTTGACAGGTTAAAATTTTTGTGACAGACAGACAAAAAGGCATACAGATGAATGAGATTTAATGTCCCTGCAAAAGTGTGGGGGGAGGGGGGGACAATGTGCAAACAAATGAAAGTATACTTGAATATCATTTTAGGACTCCTAGTGGTTGCATGGTTGCATTTCTTGGTTGCAAAATGAAGACAATGTTTAAATATGAATAACCCATACCTTGTTTTTGAGGGAAAATTCTGGCTGAGGTCCTGTAACAGTGTAATCTGGTCGTCTCTGTCTGCACTCAGGACTTTCTGAGCTGTCTGGTAACTCAGATCTGTCAAATCAAATAGTAGTAGATGTAACAAGTATTAGCTTTCCTAAAAAGCTTGTCTGACTTGAGCAAATTTATTTTTACGTGAAGAATCAAGAAATGTTAAATACAGTGTAATCAACATGAGTCTTAGTCATGAAATGAATTCTTTTGCTAAGAAACAAGAAAATTTCAATTCAGTGGCATCAACATAAAATAAAACTTGTCATGAATTTATTCTGTGTATATTATATTACTTGTAATTTCTTTTTTTCTTAGATGTAGGAACCGGGGGGGGGGGGTGCCCCCCCCCCCCAATAATTTTGTCGATTTATATACATAGCTATTTTATGATTGTGTCACCTAAATCATGTAAATATTAACTTCTGATAACTTTTGTATGCTCTATAAGGAATTTTTCCTTGATAGTGTCCACCCTAAACTGCAAATTTCTGAAATTTCTTCCAACGGGTTTGTTCATTGGATACAAAGATAAAACCAGTCTTTTTGAAAGAAAAAGTTGCAACATATAAAAATCTAAACATCAATTGGTGAACAATTTTGATAGTTAAGAAATGTCTTATTTAAAAAAATGAACGTAGCTAACATCTTTGCATTTAAGGACAAATGATACAAAGAAAAAATGGATGTCTGGATAGGTGTATATTTTTGGACCTATTTTGATTGCAAATGATGCAAATAATAAATTTCTAAATTATTAAGAAATTGTAAACTTTCTATGGTGTTCAAAATTCTACCTGTCTTCAACCATCCTTATTAATCTATACAATTTTTGTCACTTTAAATCTTATTAATGTGAAATTTCGAATGAAAAATTAAAAAATATGCGGTTAAATTTATTCATTTTACTTATATAAACTTGGCTTTAGTTGTTATTTTCAAGATATTCAATAAAAGTTTGTTTGTATCATCTGTCCTTAAGCAAAAGAATAATCAACATTTATCCTTCACTTTGATAATTTTTGAACTATGTTATAGTTACATTATAGATATTAACTGGTTATTGGTAAATACACTCACAAGTTTTAATTCACGAGGGGCGGAAATCAAACATCTGCAAGTTATGAATATGTGTAGATTTATAAAAATTCTAAAGGTAGAGAGTCTTAGTATGTATTGAAAATAAACATCCATTAGTTAATCTGATAAAGATAATCGACAAGTGTTGACCTGATCAGCTTCATTCCTGCTGTTTTGCTGGACATAAATGATATGCATTCGAGAATGGCCAAATGTTATGTAACCTGTAATGTATAATGTGATAATAAATAGGTCCAGTACTCTGGCTTGTTTGGGTGTTTAGCATGATTGTTTTCTGTACTCCCCATGCTCTCCAACTGAATATGAAGTTTCCAAGATCAAGTTATCACAAGAATTCTATTGAACGACTTGACCACCAAGCCTTGGCTAAATCTAATACTGTCTGACGCCATGACGTCAGACAACAATTTCATGTGACATTTTCAGCAATCTGGCTGTGGTTAAGATCTGACGATACCTTCTTTGAATATCTGTTTTTGTGTCTATTTGTTATATATCAATAACATTTATCATCATTTTCTTAACTATTTTCAAAATGACTAAAATTACACAACCCAAAAATTGTGATATCAGCAATTCAAGGGATTTCGAACAAGATTATATAGGAAATGCAGTCCTCTGGAATCTTGCACAAATGCCTAGTAATGTCCCTCAGTTTTTTTTGAAGAAACTAATTAAAGAAGCAATCACAAATTCTTGGGAAATTTATACAGGTACATGTATATTATTGAGGAATGTGTCATCTGACATTACTCTGCAGTCAAACTTCAACATCTCAAACATATGGCCTGTTCAAAAAATTATTTGAGGGTTTGAAATATCAAAATTTAGACTCAGATTCATAGTAACAGACAGGACCACTGACTCATTACTTGTATTCATTATACTAGTGTTCGACATACCAATGATAATTGTGTTGTGCACGGGCTTATTACCCAGAATCTAATAAAAACTAAATACCTGCATGTACATATATACTGTATACTTATTTTATTATTTAAAATACACAGGTAGCTTAAAATTTAAAATTTGAAAGAGATGTTTAAAACTTTGTGACTAGGCAGTCACTAACTGTAACCCAGGCTTTCCTTCAAAACATGATCAACTCTGCATGACTTGTCAATAATATTCTTTCTATTAATGCCAGAGTTAATATTTTCCCTTATCTATATATGTAAATATTATTTATAGAAATTCATAACAAAATACAAAAATATTAGCATTTTTTCACAACTGACCTTGGAGTTCCCAGACTTTGAGTGCTGCCAATTCTGATGATGAGGCAACCAAATGACTCCTCAGCTTCTTTAAATCTGCTTTCTGCTCTGGATACAGCTCTCTGTTAAAAATACAGGGTATATAATTACATGCATGGTACCCTGAGACCTGTGGTCAGCATACATCCTATAAGATGTCAGCATGGTATTTATAGATTGCAGAAGTCTGAAAGGAGGAGGGGAGGGGGGGGGGGGAGCTTATGTGAAAGCATACATACTTTTAATGTCATACTTTTCAATTATGATTTCATAAATCATTTGTTTTCAAGAGTTGGTCATTCAAGAGAATCAGACATGCAAAATCCACTCCACTTACTTGAGTTTTGCAAAGTCAAATCCCTGAACTACATCATCTAGCTGGTCCTCTTCCTCTGTGCTGGTTCCCTCCCCTACAATATGTCAGATAAATTTCTAACTATAAAAGGATGTCCGTAGTTCCATCATAAACATTACTCCAGCAAAGTCTCAGAAACCAAAAATTTTACCTGTTTTAAAAGTGGTTACAGAGAATGGCTATTAATACCTGGGAGTGAGGCAAACAACCCAACTAACCATATATTTCGTCATTGTTTGGTTTGCTTCACTTAAAACAATTTACTTGTTTCACATAAAAATCTAAATAAATCATTTGCATTTCTTTAATTAGTTTCTTTTCAGCTTTTGTCTTCTTGCCAGCAAACAGTATTCAGCAAATAAGTGACTCAGAGTAATTTTGATTAGAGTCTAAGCTTTTTCAAAAATTTTTATTCAATTTTAAAGGTTTGCAATTAAGCCCTAAAACCGAGCAAAGAGTGCAGAGTCTTGGTGAATGTTCAGGCAGAAAATCAGAAGCTGTAGGTACAAGTAGATGTGGAAGACAGTAGAAGAGTCACAATCTTGGTATTGCTTAATTCCTTGCCCACCAATCTACTAGATATTGATGAAAAATAAGTCTCTGTATACACCCAGTGACAAAATAAAATCTCTCACTTTAATTTTGAAGAGCAAGTAAGAGTTTTAAGTAGGAATACTGAAGATAAAAGTTCAAAGAAAAAAGCATATACATGTACAATATAAATTTATTGTTACTCTTAAGCAGAAATCTATTAAGCCATGTGTCAACTTGATTCCATTTTCCAGTTGCATACTATAGGTTATTCCACATTTTTTGTTAAGTATGAATGTGATGCTAACTACATTAACTGATATATCACCTACCTGACATCTGAACATATATACCCTGAATGCTTACCTTTTACTAAAGGGAAAGATAGAAATCACATTACACTGAGAATGAGGTAACAGACAACTCATGATGACACTGACTCAGACACGACTCATGTAAGCATTTATTACCAATATATATTCAAACGTTTAAACTCAGATATTCTTCTTTTTACATGCATATTCTAAGCCTAAGCAAGAAATTGTGAGGTATTTTAGCACAATTTGATGACTGTTACATTTTTTACAATAAGAAATGTTTAAAAATATAATGCTTGAGTGCTCAACAACTCCCATGAAAAACAATCAAAAATTTAAGTAAAAACCATTTCAGTTTTAAATAGATTGCTGCAGCAAATTTCTGAATTTATGTTTCTCCCTCAAATTTTTAATTCAGCCTTCTCCCTTCACATACCTTCTATTTTGGTGTCATCCTTTGCTTTGTACTCTGTGCTTTTAATTGCTAACTCTACACCATAACCAGACAGGCGTGTCCTCTCCTCTGATGGATTCTACCAAACAGATAACACCAATTATTGTACCAAACAGGCAACACCAATTATTGTACCAAACAAGTAACACCAATTACTGTACCAAACAGGTAACATTAATAATTGTACCAAACAGGTTAACACCAATTATTGTACCAAACAGGTAACATTAATAATTGTACCAAACAGCCTAAAACAGGTAACACCATTTATTGTACCAAAGAAGTAACATTAATAATTGTACCAAACAGGTTAATACCAATTATTGTACCAAACAGGTAACACCAATTGTACCAAACAGGTAACACCAATTATTGTATCAAACAGGTAACACCAATTATTGTATCAAACAGGTAACACCAATTATTGTACCAAAGAGGTAACATTAATAATTGTACCAAACAGGTTACACCAATTATTGTACCAAAGAGGTAACATTAATAATTGTACCAAACAGCCTGAAACAGGTAACACCATTTATTGTACCAAAGAGGTAACATTAATAATTGTACCAAAGAGGTAACATTAATAATTGTACCAAACAGGTAACACCAATTATTGTACCAAACAGGTACCACCAATTATTGTACCAAACAGGTAACACCAATTGTACCAAACAGGTTACACCAATTATTGTATCAAACAGGTAACACCAATTGTACCAAGCAGGTAACACCAATTATTGAATCAAACAGCTAACACCAATTATTGTATCAAACAGGTAACACCAATTGTACCAAACAGGTAACACCAATTATTGTATCAAACAGGTAACATCAATTATTGTATCAAACAGGTAACACCAATTGTACCAAACAGGTTACACCAATTATTGTATCAAACAGGTAACACCAATTATTGTATCAAACAGGTAACACCAATTATTGTATCAAACAGGTAACACCAATTATTGTACCAAAGAGGTAACATTAATAATAATACCAAACAGCCTGAAACAGGTAACACCATTTATTGTACCAAAGAGGTAACATTAATAATTGTACCAAAGAGGTAACATTCATAATTGTACCAAACAGGTAAAACCAATTATTGTACCAAACAGGTACCACCAATAATTGTACCAAACAGGTTACACCAATTGTACCAAACAGGTTACACCAATTATTGTATCAAACAGGTAACACCAATTGTACCAAGCAAGTAACACCAATTATTGTATCAAACAGGTAACACCAATTATTGTATCAAACAGGTAACACCAATTGTACCAAACAGGTAACACCAATTATTGTATCAAACAGGTAACATCAATTATTGTATCAAACAGGTAACACCAATTGTACCAAACAGGTAACACCAATTATTGTATCAATCAGGTAACACCAATTATTGTATCAAACAGGTAATACCAATTATTGTATCAAACAGGTAACACCAATTATTGTACCAAAGAGGTAACATTAATAATTGTACCAAACAGGTACCACCAATTATTGTACCAAACAGGTACCACCAATTATTGTACCAAACAGGTTACACCAATTATTGTACCAAACAGGTAACACCAATTATTGTATCAAACAGGTACCACCAATTATTGTACCAAAGAGGTAACATTAATAATTGTACCAAACAGCCTGAAACAGGTAACACCATTTATTGTACCAAAGAGGTAACATTAATAATTGTACCAAACAGCCTGAAACAGGTAACACCATTTATTGTACCAAAGAGGTAACATTAATAATTGTACCAAACAGGTACCACCAATTATTGTACAAAACAGGTACCACCAATTCTTGTACCAAACAGGTAACACCAATTATTGTACATGGCTAGTCACATACTTTTTCCCCATATTATTTTAGCATTAACTATGCTCAAACGGATACAACAAAGTCGATTTATTTTGTTTTGCACCTTAAGCATTTTAAGTTATTAAAGGTATACTGTACACCATAACAATATTTGATTTCCTAAATATTGTACTTCAGCCTTCCAAAACTGCATCATATTAACTAAAACTTTGATATCATTTGCTATACACATGTACATGACTGTATAAATATCATTATAGCATCAAGTTTACATGTAAATCTTTAAGAAAACAAAACTGAATACCTTCACAAAATGTCTCAATACATAAGTAACTTCATTCTGCTTGGACAGAGATTTGAGTTTTTCATGTAACTCTGTAAAGCCTGGCTTTCCAAGTTCTCCATATAGTACAGCAACCATATTTTTATTTCCTGTCCCAGGATACACATGATCAAACTTGTAAACGGATGATTTGGGCCTAAAATGAGAAGCACTTCATACATCTTTTATTGTTAAAATTTGTACATTTTTATGCATTCATAATGCAACCAGAAGTCTCTGACGAGACTGTTGCTCTACTGGTTTGTACTCATAACGAAGGAAGATAAAAGTAGCACTTGGACTTGAAACTTTGCAACAGCTGCAATAAATAAAATGATGATCCTTGGTTTAGTCTCTTTTTGTGGCAAGATTTATTGCAATCAGACTAAAACTGTTGAAAGAATTTTACAGAAATTTAGATTTTAATAACCATGGCAACATCATTCAACAAAACCAAAAAACAATAAAGACAATTATGCATCTTAGTGTAGTCTACTTGTGTGCCAAGTTATACTGAAATCAGACCAAAACTGTAGGAAGAGTAGCATTTTGAAAGTATTTCACAGAACACAGAAATTTCTAGTCGCCCGTGTGGCGCAGTGGTTAGAGCGTTTGCTCTAGAGTCGCGGAATAAGGAGTTGATCCTTACGTCACAGGTTTGAATCCAACTGTGGGACATGAAGACCGGTCCTTCGGATGAGACCATATAAACTGAGGTCCCGTGTCGCAGTAGGTGCTGGCACGAAAAAGATCCCTCACTGCTCAATGGCCCTGAGTGCCGAGTAAAGGTCAAAATTTGCAGCTCTCCATCGGCAAATGGTGGCGTCTCCATATGAGTGAAAAATTCTTGAGAGGGGCATTAAACAATAAACAAATAAAACAAACAAACAGAAATTTCTATTTTTAGCAACCATGGCAACACTGTTCATCGAAAACATAAACCAATAAATAGAATAATGTATCTTAGTGTAGTCTACTTGTGTGCCAAGTTATACTGAAATCAGATCAAAACTGTAGGAGTAGTAGCATTTTGAATGTATCTCAAGGAAATTTCTGTTTTTAGTAACCATGGCAACACCATTCATTGAAATCGAAAAAAAACCATGTACGAATTATGTATCTTAGTGTCGTCTACTTGTGTGCTAAGTTACACTGAAATCAGACCAAAACTGTAGGAAGAGTAGCATTTTGAAAGAATTACAGAGAAATTTCTATTTTTAGTAACCATGGCAACACCATTCATCGAAATTAAATACCAATACACAGAATTATGTATATTAGTGTAGTCTACTTATATGACAAGTTTTATTGAAATCAGATCAAAACTGTAAGAGGAGTGGCGTTTCCAAAGTTTTTCAAGGAAATTTCTATATTTAGTAACCATGGCAATACTGTTCATCGAAATCAAAAACCGATAAACAGAATTATGTATCTTTGTGTAGTCTACTTGTGTGCCAAGTTTTATTGAAATCAGACCAAAACTGTAGGAGGAGTAGCATTTTGAAAGTATTACAGAGAAATTTCTATTTTAAGAAACCATGGCAACACCGTTCATCGAAATTAAAAACCGATACACAGAATTATGTATCTTAGTGTAGTCTACTTATATCCCAAGTTTTATTGAAGTCAGATCAAAACTGTAGGGGGAGTAGCATTTTGAAAGTTTTTCAAGGAAATTTCTATTTTTAGTAACCATGGCAACACCGTTCATCGAAATCAAAAACCGATACACAGAATTATGTATCTTTATGTAGTCTACTTGTGTGCCAAGTTTTATTGAAATCAGACCAAAACTGTAGGAGGAGTAGCGTTTTGAAAGTATTTTCCAAAAATCTCTATTTTTAGTAACCATGGCAACACCGTTCATCGAAATTAAAAACCGATACACAGAATTATGTATCTTAGTGTAGACTACTTGTGTGCCAAGTTATATTGAAATCAGACCAAAACTGTAGGAGGAGTAGCGTTTTGAAAAATTGTTTACAGATTGACGGACAGACAGACAGACGGACGGACGACGGACACATTACTATCGCATAAGCTCTTCTGGTCTTTGACCATTAGAGCTAATAAAAACATCAAAAATAGAAGCAAGAATAGCTAAATAGTTTCTCCTAGCATTTCTGCCATCTTTTTATGATAAAAAGATGGCAGAAATGCTAGGAGAAACTATTTAGCTATTCTTGCATCTATTTACTTTTATTTAGCTATTCAAGCATACATGTATAAAACAAAATAAATCCAGACACCTATAATGAAACCTTGACTTTCACTTTTCCCTTTATCAAATATAATGTACATGAGTGGTTCAATTATTACAGCATGATAACTTGAAGTCTTTAAAAAGAAAAATACACAAAAAGAATAAATAACTTCCCCGCCCCCTTCTCCTATATTATTGTATATGAAATATAAAGATCTGGTAAAAACTAGTATTAATGTTACTTGTTTGCAGCTGTTTTGATGACATCATCAATCTTGCTGATGTCACATATCTTCTCTCCATTGATGCTAACAAACATATCACAGTCCTCTGGAGCTGGCTCCTCTTTGGACATCTACAGAGACAAACAGACAAAGCTTAACAAATCATTAAATGGACAAGATAGATCTTACAAAATCTGCATTGTTTACTAACTGAAAATCTCGATTCTAAAGACTTTATGGTTTGATTTTGATTTTTAATATTGTTTAAAGTTACATAATGAGTCAAAACGTGTTTCTTTTAAGATATTTGTATCATAAAGTGAAAGATATGTGAAAATATGAGTATAGCAAAGTTTTGACAAACTCAACTGCACTGTAAAGCAAGTAAAAAGACTGTAAAGACTGCAAAATATAAGTGCCTAAAAAACAAGGGTCACATCTACTGTATAATTGTTATCATCTATATCAAGGTATTGTGACTTATTTTTAGCAGAAAACTTTTAAACATTTAACTGGAGCATGCAAAGGTGAGGAATATGTTCTGATAAATCTTTTTTGAGGACTGTATCAAAATCCTAGATCTACCAACATTCATTTGTTGGGACTTGAGACCATGGTAACTTCCACTTTTCCGCCATGCATACAGAACAAAAATCCCCCCTCCCCCTTTCCCATTTCACCTCTGAATCTTCAATCTCTGACCCCAAAAAATGAATAAATCCAGTGACTAGTTCATCACAACCAAACTGTACAGATAAAAAAAGTATCACAATTGTTATTTTTTGCATGTTAATAAAAGTTTATTTATAATTTTTAGCTTACTTACCTGTTGAAAATTTTCTATAGCTGGAGAGAAACTTCGCAGCGACAAAGAAAATCTCATCAATCTTATATGTAATGGAGATAACACTTTGCCAGCATATTTTTGAATTAAATGGTAGTTTGATTGTGCTGTGTCTATAAAAAAAACATGAAATATCAATAATACATGTATATTTATCCTATTAAACATCCCTGCTCTTTCAAGAGCTCATAGACATACATGTTTCTGCGATTTTAAATCTGAAAAGAAAATCATCCCTCAAAACATTTAGGATATATTCAAAGACACACCTCATGTGTTTGAATATTTTAACAGTCACACAATTTAGCATTCAATTTTTCACAAAAACCTTTGCAAAATTATCCTTCATAAGTGATGAATCTTAAAATATCAAAGTGGAAGCAAAAAAGTAAGGAATATATGACCCTTCTTTCATACTGTAATGCTCTTTAAATATTGTACAAGTATTGTGTGGACAGACAGTTTACTTAACTTTTAACTTTGATTAATTAACTATCATGATTATTGCCAAATGTGTTGAACTGTTCCATCATTTTTTATACATTAATCATGTTAGTACATGTAGTCCCTTTTGTCATCAGTCTATCATTTTACTAACCTGACTGAATCTGTTCTGGTGTTAATGTAGAAACACTATCAACAAACTCCCAGAATTTCTCTCTGCTTTCTCCAGCAATATATTCACTGCAATACAATTTTTACAATGTCATTTTACTCTTAACCATCATTATTGTTAACATTTCAATTTTAACTTGTCTTACTGGTTATATATATAAATTTTCTGGAGTTTTCTTCACTTTTTTTCAAATCATTATTTTCCTGACCTGGCTTCAAGCAAGAGAGGAGTTGATGACCACTTTGCATCCAGTGACACTGTTACTGGTTTTTGCTTGGCAAAAGCCATTGTTATAAAAGTCCAAATATAAAGCCACCACATCTGAAATAGACAAATTCAATTTTTCAGGTGTTTTTATAATACCGCTATAGATTAACATGTAAGAACACAGGAAACCCAAACTGAAATCTGCTAGTTCCTCACACAAATTTTTGAGTGAAACCTTCAAATAAAAAATATATTGGTGACCAAGATTTGGTTCTTGAAAAGAGCTTAAAGGAAACAAAAAATAATTGCATCATCTTCACTATCCAAGGGTTTCTGATCCACAACTCTCCTCGTAAACCCTTAAATTGGCCTATGGTGCTTTCAAAAGTTGGGATTGTTTACGTCACGTGATCTTGAATCTTACACATATGCACAGATTGCATCACTGACAGAAATAAAAAGCGTATTTAAAAATAAAAGTTTTTAAAGACTAATTAACGATTAACAAGCAGGTATAGAAGGATATTTGTTTGTTATGTAGAGTGCAAATCTATATCTGCAATATAGATTCCTAATGACATTATGTGCACATCTGCTTATAAAGTTGGATAATACCATAGCTACATATATTTATAGAATATGGCACATCATCTTTCAGATCATTGTTTACTTGTGTTTTTCATTTCAGAGACTAAAGGGTTAAGATATATCCCAAACCGAGATCTCATCATTTACAAAAGCATTTGCTGATTGATGGAATTATATCAATTGACTCCAATCACAACTGGAGGAAAAAAAAATTCAGACTTTTTGTTAGTACCATATACTATAGGACAAGGGTTTATGAAGAGAGTGGCAGGTCAGAAACCCTTGGCTAATGAAGATGTAATTGCATTTACTTAAAAAAAATGCCTTTCTTTGATAATTTGAACCATTTAGAGTCTGTTATGGGGCAACTGAAGTATGACAAAACATGTGATCCAAAGCACAGTCTACACTGATCGAGTGCAAATCTGACCTTTTACATTCCAGAGTAGAGGTAGATCCAAGTTAATCATGTATAGATCTATAAAGATTTTTACAGTATCCAGTTATAAACACAATTGTGTTCATCCTAACGGTCACACCCTAAAACAACAGCAGTAAAAGAGGAGTCAAAGTACAAGTCATATTTTCACCAGTCTAGAGCTATACAAGAATGGCAAGACATGTTTTGTCTACAGAGGCCTGTAAATGAGATTTAGTCACACGTTCACTTGGAAACTAAAACCATCAGACGTTTATTGTCTTTGGTCAGATATACATAAATATTATTTGTGTTTACACTGTCAGCTGACTGAACCCGGCTTTTTAACCATAATTTTCCAAACAAATCATCAATGATTGAAAGTGGAAATTTTTTAACAGCGGAAAATTGTTGAAAAACAAGTAACAACCAAAGTCCCCAACAGATAACCTTGAAATTCATTACATTCGTTCACTGCAGGAGAACTTTTTAAGAAAAAGGAGCCTCAAATTTGTTGCTTACGTTTGTGGAGGCCGCCATATTGTAATTCCGCTTGTGATGTGGGAGGATTTCATTGGCTAAAATAATTTTCCTAGTTTACTCACACAAGTCTAACTAGAACTAATTGATTACATATTTAATTTTTCGATAACAATTTCAAATCATCTCATCACTTTAAGAACACTCACTGCTTTTAAACTAAAACAAAAAGACTCGCAGACAAAAACTGAATGGCGGGAAAATTCAAATTTATAGGCACTCCGTCTGGGTTACAGAGAAAAATCTGACAAATTAGGGATAAATTGTTGTTTATTTAAAAAAAACTATACACTGGACAACATTTCTTACATATAATTGTTAATTATGTTTAATATATTCATCTATATCAACTTAAATTAATTAATGCTATATTTGTCACTAAATTAAGAACAAGTTCCCCTGACACACCCTAAGATTTAGGGTGCTTATCAATGATTATCCTCAAAATGAAGAAAACATCTTTCATATAGTTTCTCTAAAAATCTTAAAATCCAGGCCCATAGCAACGGTTTCAAAAGTGCGGGAGGGGGGGGGGGGCTTGCCAAAAAAATCTCTGACAAGCCAAAAAAAAAAAAAGAAAAGAAAAGAAAAAAACTAATTTACTGTCCAAATCGCGCAATTTACAACATCAAAATGTGGAGGGGGGACTATAGCATCTAAAGGAAATAAAAGTGGGGGCTGCCCCCCCCCCCCCCGCGTTCTATGGGCCTGAAATCTTCAATTTAACAGTGATAAATCATTTTCGTAGATTCATGTTAATTTTTATCCTGAAAATTTTGTAAGCAACGCAGTTAAATCATATTTGTTAATCTTCTTTAATTTTGCCCTATATAGAATTCAAACGCATTGTATCTTATATCAGTACTTCAAATTGCTTTTCTACTATAAGTATTTTTTGCAAAGTTTTCTGTAAAGAATGAAAATAAAATTTTTAGATTAGTTGGCCAGAACGTGCTGCAGTATTAAAAGTAAACTCATGCAGTACATATGTATTAAATTGTTATGTTTTCCTTATTTTCAGATTGAAAAAGAGAAATATTTGAAACTGAGCTAGTCTGACTTTCCGCTTTGCCGCGTTTTCCCGCAGGCCTCTTATATTTAATAATCTTTCCTGGATATCATTATATGGGGCTTAAGAGCCCTCTATACACTGCACACAAGAGAGTTGTGATTTTGTGGTATTTTTATGCAGATAGAGTGATCTGCCCTTTGACCAAGAATAAAATAAATTGAAATGTACAGTTTATTACTTAATTTGTGATCAATCAAGCATTCATAACACTTTAATAGGCCAAGATGAATAGACAGAACACTTCATTTGCAGGTATTTTTCCCATTTAAGTAAACAGCAGTGATTTCTGTTCATCAGTACTTCATTGTCTTTGAACATTTTTCCTGGGGCTAAATGCAAGGCACCCTATGTTGAAAATGTGATAGATAAGCTCAATACTTACACCTTTACACACTATAATTTTCTCAATGTCCAAAATATATTTTCCTCTAGTGTATAGAGGGTCCTTAAAGTTGACCCAAACTTCACGTTGTTGTTTCTTGTAGAGCCCTAGGTAACAACATACCCAGATCAGCCGATACAGGGTAAATGCGGAGTTTGGTATAGAGATCTTTTATCCATTCTTCAGCCTCTGTCTCTTATCTAAAATTTAATGTTGAATATGCCCTCTTTCATTTAACAATCAAAACTTCATGGATATCTAAAATAATTTCTTCATCACGGTGAAGAATACACTATATTAGAAACTTAACATCATTTTAATTATCGATTATTTTTATCATCTTGAAAAAAAAAATCCCATGCAGTTCATTTCAAAACTTAATTCTGACATCCCAAAAGATTCATACGAACAGAAAACAAGGACACCAGTACACAAAGTTATATCTGTCTCGAGAGCTTTATTTCATTTTGTTCCTCTTTTTTCTGTTTGATATGGACCTCATTTGAATCGAACCTAATCAAGGGGGACCAAAAGAATCGACCACTCACGACCAAGAACCTCAATCAGTAACGTAATCAAAGATAATGAAATCTGAGATAATGGCTCTTCTTTGTGATTGGTAACCCTAAGATTTACAGAAGTCATGGAAAATGGAGTGTATGTCATTCCCAGGGTCAGACAGTAGATTTGTAATATATTACAGAGACTGGAACGCGCTTTTCTTTTCGCATATCGATCCATGCACGGCTTCCAAGAAGCAAAGGCTTGAGTCGCGGCAATGTGCAGATATTAATTATGATGTTTATTCACTTTTCACGAAATGCAATTCCAAAAATGCCTCTCGGAAAGCCGGGCACATTTCTACCACTTTATCAAATGTGTGGAAATTGTGATTCACATCCTAATGTTGCAAATCGATCGGACAGATTGAGCATTAACGAGCTAGAAATGAAATAACACGATACATCGAGTTAAAAACAGACTGTTTTTGAAAATTACGTTGTTTCTGTGTGTTAAGTGCTTTTTATTTTGGCAGTGTCGATTCCTGCATTCCCCTGGGAATATGGAAGGATGCATTTTTATCCTATTGCAAAGTATGTGAGCGGTCGATTGCTTGCAAAGAGCTGAGAAAAATCAGGAGTGAAGACGGCATTTAAGCGTTTGACTCATCTGTCGCACCTTTTCTTGATCTTCTGGCATTTAGGGTAGAAAAAATGTGTCTTCTTGACATTTATTAAATGTCATACGAAAGTAAAGCCAATGCTCTAGAGTAAGTGCCGCATTAGAATTTCAAAAGAAATATACCAGATTCAGCGGCTGTGATTTCAACACTGGAGACGCCCCCGAGTTGAAGAGGAGATATTGGCGTTTTTTCCTATCCTTTGTTATTGAATAAATAATTTTGGAGTGACGCAGTCCTGTGTTCTTTCACATTGAAGACCTGTCATTCCAGTGCTTGGGTGTCAGAAGTAAGAGAAGCCTTGGGTTCTTGTCGGTTTTATGAAGAAGTCTATTGATCTTGGAATTGGCTGATTTCGGAGGCGTTAGATCCGCGTAATTATTCCATTATTTTCAGAGCAAACCGTCACTGGTCGAGGAACTTTTACCAAACAACTACAAAATTAAGAATAATTTTGCAGTATGGAGAAAGTTCTATATCGTAGTTTCTATTGATCTCGTCAAAATTAAGTTAAACGCTTTGTGAAGGAACGTTTACGGCGAGCAGATGCCTATGGACTTTAGTCACGGGGATTTCTCGGAAAGGATTCTTCTATAATGTACAAAATGTGATACATCTTTTAACGGATATAAGTACATTACCTATATCAACTATGTCTTCATTGTCGCCTTTTACAAACACAGGACTAGGGTATGGTATGGGGATCTACCGACCCAGAAGGCCAAGCTATACGTATGCAACACAAGTTCCTCGTCAGAGAACAGAGAGTTACAGGTATGCTGTTCGTAAAAGTACAGGGGACCCTGAAAATACTGACTTCATTGAGGGAATGACAAACTCTAGTAAACGGGGTCGTAAGGAAAGCTATTTTCAAGCCGTTAAACGAGACGATCGGAATGTGGAAATGGCCCAAGTGGAAGTTAAAATAGACCCGCCAAAATCTGAGGAGGAGCAGACGATTACAAATAATAGACACTCTCTGAACAAGCTTCCGGATGAACATATTAATGAATTAAAAAGAGCAATTCTGAGAAGAACGAAAAGTTTAGAACGAGAGAATCGTGTTCCAGATACTTATATAGCTCCCAGAAGTGTATCTAACGATCAACTGAACTTGCCAGCTGAAAATCACTGCTTCAACAAACCTGATACAACAGGGACTCCAAACTCAGAACTCAGTAGCAATGTTCCTTCCATTATTCTCTTCACTTTTAAGAAGAACCTTGTGTTTCTGTGCATTAGCTTCATTCTATTATTTTCAGTATTCAGAGCCATTCAGAATCTCCAGACTTCCATTAATGACGAGAGGTATCTAGGAGTTACTGCCATGTCTTGTGTACATGGTGCAATGTTTGTTACATGTTTGTGGGCTCCAACTTTCATAAACCTCATGTCTGCCAAATGGGCAATAGCATGTGGAATGTTTAGTTTCCTTGCTTGGACCGGTGCCAATTTTTACCCCAGTTTTTACACCCTCGTCCCCACAGGTCTTTTCTCGGGGTGGGGACAGGGGATTTTATGGACTGCTGAGGCATCGTATATCTTAAAATTGGCCTTTGATTCTTCACGAATCACAAAGAAAGGCATAGACAAAGAAGTCTTCAGATTTAACGGCTTTTTCCTTGCCGGATTTCAGACGACTCACATTTGGGGAAATTTAATTTCATCCATCATTATTTCTTCCACAACAATAGACGATTCTGGAAATGGTGATGTAAGTGGAGAACTTGATACAAACTTCACAACAATTACCCATAACCCCAGCAGCATCAATAAATGTGGGGGATTGTATCCCTGCAGTCCCGTTCCAGGGGGTGTCATGAAGGTTTCAGGTTTGTGTCCAGAAAGCAATTAATGTACTAAATATTCACATTTACCAATACATGGATCTAAGTACTTCATGGGTCAATGTTCGTAAAATGACAGTTTAGTTAAAGGGGAAATTTTACTGTCTCTAAATACAATTATTTTTACATATTGTTGTAGAAAATCAACATATTGCATTCGTTTTGGTAAAAAGAGATACATTGTAGAAACATTGCATTGGATATGAGGGCGAAATGGCAATAATATCGTGTTCTGCTCTGATTCTTAGAAAGGGGTGCATGTGTTTTGATAAACGTAAAATAGGCAAACATAGCTTTAACACAATACTTCCTCACTACCAGTCGAACAATCTTCTGCCGTTGAAAAGCAGGCGGGGTTGGGGATGAGGGAAGAACGAATCGGGTACATACAAATCTGACATGTTTCAAACACTCGGTGTAGGAGAGAATTCGTTCAAATGTAAATTCCATGCCAATTTTTTTTAAATTGAAATTCATTCCTTGTCAAACACAGAATTATTTCCTTTGCTTTTTCTAATACAGAGAATGAATTTTAAAATTGTGCATTTGATAACTAAATAATAGTAATGTTAATGAATAATAATTTGCTTTTTCAATTTGTTTTATTGTAATCGGTATTAAATTTACATTCCATAATTACATTATATATGAAATAGAATCTGTTTATTAAATGCATTTATATTAAATCCATTAATGCAAATACATGTATAATTACATTAAATCGTATGATATACAATTATAGACTGTTATAAAACTACGTTCCATTAGATAGATAATCCAGTGACTCAAATTAATAAGAATTTTTAAAATCATAATTCATTTATCCTTTTCTTGCTTTTAAGATTATCCATGATGATTCATCCGCGTCTTTTTCCCCCTGTAATTCTGCGGACATACTACATGTATTATTAAGGAACTGATAAGATCATAATAATTCAGTTGAAGTTATTTTTTTAATTTCTTACACCAGGTATTTCAGAACTTTTAATAGTATGCTGAAATACATTTTTATTAAATTTTAATTAAAATCCTAATCTAGACTACATATATTCTGAAGCATTTGACAGCTAGAGGGGGTAGGAAGTTTCGGGGTTGGAAGAGAGGGAAACTTAATAATTTATCTATAAGTTGATCGTTTACGTTGATTTTAGAATACTAATATTTCAGGGAAAAAAAGAGGAAAATAAATATTTGGCGTACCTTCGTTATCTTGATGAAAGAAATGTCTATAAAAGGATGATATAGATACAACAATTATTGATTACCGTATTCTTTGTATATTACGTAACATTTTGATGTTTTGATATGCGTTCTTTTCCAATTTTTTTCTCCTCAAAGTTAAAAAAAAGATGGATATAGGCCACAAGGTTCACCCGAGTAACATTTATTTACCTGGAAAATGACAATGAAGAGAAATAAAACATCCAATTGCACGGGGCTTAATTGGCATAGACCCTTTATCCTTGCATTTGGGATATTTAGATTTAAAGAGATGGGAAAAATGGCGAAATATTAATGTATTATATTATGTTTAACTGTAAAATAATTAGAGTTTAGATTGTAGTCTTGTATTATATTAACCGCCCTGTGAACTTTTTTAGTCTTTAAAAAAAAAGAAAAGAAGAGATTGCTGATGAAATGCCCTTAAAAATCAAACTGCCATTTCATTTTGAAATATCGAGGAAATCTATTTTCAATTGGGACAGGGTCTTGTTGCCAAATCTGCATGGGACAGATAATAAACCTTGATTGTAGTTGAAAACTTTTTAGCTCACCTGAGCCGAAGGCTCAAAGGAGCTTTTCTGATCAAAATTTGTCATGCCTTCTTCCAAGGGGAAATAATTATGAATTCGTGAAAAATTAATGGTATCATTTTAAAGTCTTCTTCTCAAGAAGCACTGTGCTTGAAAATATGAAACTTATATGTGGAATCATTGTGAGGTAGTGTAGATTCAAGTTTGTTCAAATCATGACCCCTAGGGGTAGGGTGGGGCCACAATGGGCGATCAAAGTTTTACATAGGAACACATAGGAAAAAATCTTTAAAAATCTTCTTCTCAAGAACAGCAAAGCCATGATTGGTCATATCTATATGCAAGCATCCTCATGTAGTGTAGATTCAAGTTTCAAATCCTGACCCCCGGGGTGGGTGGGGCCACAATGGGTGATGAATGTCTTACATAGGAACACAAAAGAAAAAAATCTTTAAAAAATCTTCTTCTCAAGAACAGCAAAGCCATGATTGGTCATATCTATATGCAAGCATCCTCAGGTAGTGTAGATTCAAGTTTCAAATCCTGACCACCGGGGGTAGGGTGGGGCCACAATGGGTGATGAATGTTTTACATAGGAACACATAAGTAAAAATGTTTAAAAATCTTCTTCTCAAGAACAGGAAAGCTATGATTGGTCATATCTATATGCAAGCATCCTCAGGTAGTGTAGATTCAAGTTTGTTCAAATCATGACCCCCCGGTGGTAGGGTGGGGCCACAATGGGCGATCAAAGTTTTATATACAGTAGGAATACATAGGAATAAATCTTTAAAAATCTTCTTCTCAAGAACAGCAAAGCCATGATTAGTCATATTTAGATGGAATCAGCCTCAGGTAGTCTAGATTCAAGTTTGTTCAAATCAT